GCAAAGTAAGGCATCTAGGTAAAAGTAATCTAACCAATCCTTCTTTACACAGTATTGAGCTGAGTCACAACACAGGAAAAGTTTTGAAGTCAGCATACGCAGTTCTCTGAAATCATTGGCTCAGCACAAGTAATTTTATAAAAAGCCAACAATTTGTCATTATCGCCACATCACCAGGAAGAGAATTGAGAACATGACAGAGATGGTGTTTTGTCGCTATACAAAACCTTGGTGTGCCCATATCTTGAATATTGGGTAGAGTTTTGGTGTCTGCATCTCAAGAAGGAAGAAGTGAAGTGAATTAAAGGTGATAAAAAGAAGGGGAATTAATGCTACAAGGGATAGAGTAGCTGCCTTAAAATGAAAAATTTAGAAGTCTGGGATGCTTCAGTTTGAAGAGGAGAAGGCTAAGGTACAATCAAAGTTTACAAAATCAGAAAAGCACTGGATAAACTGAATGTGGAATTATTCACCAAATCATGCAATACAAGAAACAAATGGCATTCTATCGTGATTTAAGCCCAGAGGGCAACTGAGTACCAAGCAGCTGCTCACTCACTCCTTGCCCCTTAGGGTTGGGGAGGAGAAAATAAAACAAAAGGCTTGGGAATCAGGATAAGGAAAAGCAGGGTTGACTCAGCAGTTATGGTCATGGGCAAAAGACAGACTCAACTGGGGAAGAAAAAGAACATCATTTTAATTTTAACACCACCACCACTTTATTTACCTATCAAACAGAATAGGATGGTAAACAATCACATCTTAAAAACACCTTCCCCCCACCCCTCCCTTCCTCCCAAGCTAAGCTTTGCTCCCGATTTCTCTACCTCCTCTCCCTCAGCAGTGCAAGGGATGGGGTTGTGGTCAGTCCATCACCCACTGTTTCTGCTGCTCCTTCCTCCTCAACAGGGAGGAAGACATCCTCAGTCCTCCATGAACTTTCCCTGACATGAGTCCTTCCCATGGGTTGTAGCTCTTCATGAACTGCTCCAGCATGGCTCCTTCCAGTAGGCTGCAGTCCTCCCAGCAACAGACTGCCCCAACGTGGGTTGCTCTCAGAGTCCTGGCCTTCTTCAGCTCAACCACCTGCTCTGGTGTGGGGTCCCCCACAGGCTGCAGGTCATCATCTGCTCCACTGATGACCCCCATGGGTGCAGGGGCACAGCCGGCCCTTCACCACAGGCTGCAGGGGGGTCTCTGCTCCAGCACACCTCCTCCCCTTCCTCCTCCCTTCCTCCACTGACCTCGTTGTTTGCAGAAGTATTGCCCTTGCAACTCCTCTTAAGTCCCCCTTCTTAAATACATTACCACAGAGCGCAGCCACCATCACTAATTGGCTCAGCCTTGACCAGAGGCAGGTCCAACTTGGAGCCAGGGGAGTTTCCAGAAGCTTCTTGCAGGGGCCACCTCTGTAGCCCCCTACCCCGCTACCAAATGCCCCACCTCACACAAAACCAACACACATTCCAAACTATTATAGAAAACAAAGAGTTCAGTGGATAAATAAAAGTACTTATTTATCAGATACTATCAGATTTGAACCTCTAGAGCTTGTTGCTGCCTGAGGTTGTGAAATGCGCAATATCACCAGGTTCAGAAAGGGATTAGAGATATTCATGGGGAACAATTAGACTGGGCCAGGGATAATATCTTCCAGTATTCTCTAGTACAGCAGTTATGGATGCTGGAGAAGTATGAGGGGAAGATACTGTAGGAAGTAATAGGCTTAAGCGCTTGCCCTAAATGCCATCTATTGTTGCTACTCCTGGAAACAGCGTTAGGCTATAGCTACCTCTGTTTTGATCCAGTAAGGTATTATTTCTTATGGTCTTATGTTTTGGCTGTTTAGTGATGATATTTGCTCTGAATTTTAAATGGACTTCGAGCAGGAGGCTGACTGAGTTTGTCTAAGAGAATTGTAATCCATGGGTGTTGCTCAGTGCCAGAAAGGAAGAGTAGGCTGAGCCTTTATTTTACTGATACCATATATATCTTCACTTCTTCCAGTTTCTTCATATTCAGAGTTATCCAGTCCAAGTGATGGAGTACTGTAGCTTAATGAGTAACCACATTTGAGCTGATGCACAGTGACTGACCAAATGCAGCATTTACCTGCCCCTCTTGCCAAGTAAAACACAGTAGCTTAAACCATGATTTAGTCTGACAAATGATTTGTGGTTTAAGCCTAGTACCTCCTGATTCACAGACCAGCATACAGCCAGTTACTGCAGTTTGGGTGATGAATGTTAACTCATTAGGCTCCAGTACTGAAATTTTTTCCAGCTGAAATCTGTACCCTTCCATGCACTTACTTATATTTTCTTCCCCTTTTATCAGGCCCTTTCTTCACAGTGCTCAGCACTCTAGCCTTGCTTAGGAAAGGACTGTGTGTTTGATTATTAGAAGTGATTATAACTTGCTGGGACCCAGAACTGCAGATTCAACTCAACAAATGCTCTTTAGATCACTTGGTGTTTTGGTAACTGATGTAATGTCAAAGCCTCTGATGCAGTGAAACACACATGCAGTCTTGGCTGTAGAAGCAACGTCTGACAGCTGGATCAGTGACTGCATAGCTTTTAAAGGGAGTCCTTGTCAACACAAGTGCAACAGAGCACCATCTCCTCTCTATCCATGCCTAGAAGAAAGGAATGGGAAACCACTTTGAACCAGATGGTGATTCCTTCTAAATGAAATAAGGGTCTTGTGCTTAGTGTTTTCTGTAAAGCTCAGTTTACTCTTTTTATCTCACGGAAAGTACATTTGGGGCATCTTACTGTACTTCATCTTGTGCGTAGAAAATTGCAGGTCAAATAAGCATAAGGAAATTAAAATAATAATAAAAAAAAAAACTGTGGGAAAGGTAGAAAGAAGAGAAATGGAATCAACCTGGAATGTTTTATATCTCTAATCACTTAGCCATTGTTTGGAGGTCAGATAACTCTATACAACACTGACAACCAAAATAGTCTAATGACTGCTAGCTAGGAAATGACTACATTTAAAATGTGACAACAAAGGAATTTCTGTTAACAATGCTATTAATTCATGCTTGTTAACGAACACTTTTTACTGCTTCCCATCTGGGTTGTTATATTGTGTTGCAAGCATGAAGCTTTGAACATCTTTGATTCAGTTAGCGTGCTCTTAAACATCCAAATGTGCCAGTATTGAAAAGAGTGAATCAGTATGCAAGCAAAGGAGCAGAGCATAGATCACCTCTATTTTTTTTATTATTATTGTCTTATATATGGGTAACTAGCAACAAAACCAGAATGACTGGAAAGAAATTAAAGAACAGCCTGTGCATCAGCAATGCTTGCCTGTTTTACTGATCCTAAAATGAGTGTTGGAAATGCAAAAATTAAATGGTATTTGTCAAGACACTAAATGTGGATTCATGAAACAGAGCACAGCACATTTCTTGTCTCTGCCTTTAGAAAAGCTTTCTCTTAGCAGGAGGGGTGCAGTCACTCTGTTTAATGTCCTTCTGAAAATACTAAAATTTCACTATAACTGCAGCCCCCCTCCCGAATGTTAAATGAAGATTTGTTGGTATGAGCTTAAATAGTCTTCCATCTCTCTCATTTGTTTCAAACCACCCTTGTAGCAAAATGGGGGGGGGCGGCTGTTGTCCTTGTGTTTCACCTTCAGATCAGTATTAGTTTTGATAGGATTGCAGTACTGAGGGACAAATTAATTGACAATTCAGACCATACTGTAAAGTTTGACACACAACCTTAGCTGTTGTCCCTGTTTTGCAGACAGGTCGGGCTCATTAACACCTGTTGGTGCACCCAAGGCCCTGGCAAGCCTCACCCAGACCTTCCACCCATTCACCTTCTGCCCAGTGCTCCTGGAGCTCCACTTAAACTGGGGCCCCCAGTCTGCACCTAAGCTACATCACAGTGTATCTGTGCTCAGCCCTGTCCCTGCTGCCCTGATTTTCTCACTGCATTAGCCTCGGGTGTGACTAATTACCTTGCTGTGTCTGATAATCACCAGATTGTCACTATCACCACCCTGACTAAAAAGTGCAGGACATTGTCCTGGTCAGGGAGGTAACTGTTATCTATCTGCAGCCACACCCTCTTGGAGGGGACCAGCTCTTCTTGTTCCATGACTCTTAAATCAGGCTTCTGTAAAGGACTTGCAGTTATTATCCAGCTCTGGGGCTCCCCGGTATAGGAAGGACACAGACCTGCTCAAGTGGGTCCAAAGGAGGCCATGAAGATGGGGGGGGCTGGAGCACCTCCATAATGAAGAAAGGTTGAGAGAGTTGGGGTGTTCAACCCACAGAAGAGAAGGCCTCCCAGTACTTAAAGAAGGGTGACAGGAAAGATGGGGAGGGACTCTTTATCAGGGAGTGTGGTGATGAGTGATAACAGTTTTAAACTGAAGGAAGGTGGATTTAGATTAGATACAAGGAAGAAATTCTTCCCTGTGAGGGTGGTGAGGCCCTGGCACAGGTTGCCCAGAGATGCTGTGGCTGCCCCCTCCCTGGCAGTGTTCAAGGCCAGGTTGGACGGGGCTTTGAGCAACCTGGTCTAGTGGAAGGTGTCCCTGCCCATGGCAGGGGGGTTGGAACTAGATGATATTTAAGGTCCCTTCCAACCCAAGCCAATCTATGATTGTACTGCCAGCCATGCTGCAGTGTAACATAGCTCAGGGATATTATCTCAAAGTGTGGGGAGGCTGTGCACAGTGCCCATCAGTTAGTTAGTTTACATGTAATTTCAACTCTGTTATTGCTAAAACTTTTTCTTTCTTTAGAATGTAAGTGGATAGAATCAAGAACCTTGCTGTTCTGCTTGCGCGCAGCACATTCAATCCATGCGGTGTCCAAAACTTTTCATGAACTTGTCACTTGACCTCACTGAAATAATAATAAACAAAAATAAATGGGTTTCTGATCTCTAGTATTTTTAGTGGTATTGATTTTGAGAAAATGTATTTATAAATGCAGAAGATTAAAATATATTCTGACATCTTACTTCCAGGTTCCTAATCATGCAGAACTTGCCTGGATTCTTGGGTGCTTAACTAATGTGTCACATCTGCTACGGTTGCCCCAGTGGAAGGTATGGACAGGTCTGTAAGTTAAAAGGAAATATATGGGAATTCAATAGAACTGTGGTCCTTGAAATACTTGTTATCTGTGAGGTACCAACTGTATCTTGGTTATCCTTGCTTTAGGTTTAAGTAATTCTCTAGTCCTGTGGTGGAAGGAGGAAAATAGGTCTTTCTGGGTCTGCTGCTATCAGTGAACATTTTCCTGTTAGAAGCTATAGGTTAAGATTTTTAGCAGAGACTTACAGAACCTGTATTAAATAGGATGTTTGTTTGGTGTTGTTAAATTGGTTTTGCTAGAATACTTGGAGTTATTTCAATGCTTATTTAATAATGCAGACTACAAGATACTGCAGTGGAAACCTTGAGCCTTGCTGATTAAGGAGTACCATAAACAGCGTTTGTTTTTTTTTTTCCCACTATGAAGAGTGGCTGTTCTGTAAATTTTATGGAAGAGGGTGTAAAAGAAGCATATGTTGGAAGAGGAGTATAGAAATAATAAATATTAAAAATGTGCTGAGTGATAAAGTTAATGTACCTTAATGTATCTTGGTACTGCATCAGCATAACTGCATTATCTGAGTTATTGCATTTCATTTTGTTGTATTTTATTCTGGTATTTAGTAAGCAGAAAAAGCAAAAGACAGTAGAGAGAAGTATCAAAAAAGGAAAAAAATCTTAAGAGCCGTTTGGCTTGCAGAGTTCAGAGCAGTCTTAAATACCTCCAGATGTTTTCTTTTTTCCTGTTTTTCTTCTTAATTAAATAAAAACAGTAAAACTTAAATACAGCAACCAGTGTTAATGCATGGCATAGATTAAAGCCAACCTTTTCAAACCTGAGGTTCTAAAGTTAAGGTCTTAAATCCAGCTTTGACTGGATTGACTTTCCAAATCTACAGATAGGTGTTAGAGGTGCTAGGCTTTGCCCATTAAGTCCTCTGAACCCTAGGCACTTACAGATCCTGTCTTCTATCTGCATCTCTATGAGGGGTGAGAAAAATCTAAAGATACTTTAATAGTCTTAATGAAATAATTAAGATTTTAAGGACTTTAGTGTATTCAACTATGATAAAAAGCAAAAAGTAGATATGCCACTTCTAGAATAGAATTAGTATCTGTAACCTGACTATCTTGATTTAAATGATCTTAAAGCAGTAAAGAACTTCAGGACAGTGGGTGGCTTTTGGGGAGCAGTGTGAACTAATGGAGAGAATGCTGGACTCTGCCTCTGTATTCTGCATTCTCCTAGCTGTCACCAACTCTCCTAGTGACTGCATGTGATCACTATGTCTTGATCTCTTTTCTGTGAAACACAAGTACTAATACCTTTTTATATTTTTATTATAAAGTGTTTTCAAAAATTTATTGCTGAAAATGCTATTTCAAAAGTAGGAGTTAATTAAGTCTCATAATGCAGCCTGATGGATTGTAATAATTTTCATTGGTAAGATTACAAACAGAAAGAAAACACAAGCCTATGTTTTCTCCTTACTACAATATCAGAACAGTGTAAGGAAATTCATAATAGAGGACATAAAATGGGATGTGTATATTCACAAGGAGCAGGTTTTACATGGCACACTTTTCTCTAGAGTTACACAGTAAGTTGTTCAAATTAGTCAGAATTCTAAGTAATTAAAATCACAGACTTTGATACCATTATCCAAAAGTGTGATTCCTCTCTGTTTTTCTCTTGCAAACAGATGAAGCGTGCCAGCCAGAATAATGAAGGAACTGTTGGTCTGTTGACTTACCCTGTGCTTCAAGCAGCAGATATTTTGCTGTACAAGTAAGAGGCAGAATGTGAGCTCATGGGCAATGTCCGTTCAGCTGCATTAGAATGAATGTTCATCAGGTCAACATGCTAACTTATTAAGTGGGGGAGCTGGGTGTGATTAGATCAGAAGATTGGAAATGGATGACAGCTTTTTACCTCTCAAGTGACTGGTTTAAGTCAAGCCTGGTTTGAAAGCAACTGGCAGGGCTGTAAAGAGGAAAAGCCAGTCACTTCAGGATAATTCTTACGGCATTAAAATGCACTGATGATTAATTATACATATTACATGTTCACACACATACATAAACATATTTCTTTTTAAGTAGATATACTTTATTTTATGCATTGTACTGTAGAGCTTCTTAAACTAATTGTCTGTAGTATACACTTACTAGTGTGGGATTCTCTGTAGGCCTGTTGATACTAGTGAAATAAGTGAGTAATTTACTGCACCTTGTGGTAGCTGGGCTGGTTTTTCTCTGTGGGCGTACTGTGTGGTGCAATGGAAATACATCCTTACAAGGGACTGCTGACTCAGCATGGCTAAGTTTGTAGCCTGGCTGATAGAACTTGTAGTGCATTGTCATGACTGATTGTATTTCATATGTTTTAAACTGTCTCAGTAAGTGTTAGAGGCAATGCACTATGCATTAACTGTTTTCATGTTCTGAGCATACGTACTTTGTGCAATTGTTTTGAAGTAAAGCTGTGAATATTTGTTGGGACAGAGAAGTAATACAGAACTATGAGGACAGGGACTTTAGGAGGACAGAGTAACCAAGGTTAGCCAGTTGTTAACCCAGAAAAATGTATCTAGAGAAATTTAATCCCAAGTGATCAGTAGTAGGGGAAAACAGTAGTGTTAGAAGACCAGTACATTATATTTCTAATTCACTTGAATTTTATCTGAAAATAATGGGAAGCAAGCAAAAGTCAAAATAAATTTGAACACTAAAATAATCTTCTAACCAGTGAGTCCCATTTGATTGTGAAGCAGTATTTAAGGGTGACATTTAGACAACTTTATGAGAAATAACTTTGCCTTGATTAAGCTCAACCATGTATGTCTCTTCCATCTTTAATAAGATCATGTGATTCATCATTCCTTAGTGAAGCCTGTGTTTTGTTTGCTACCATGTGTATTAACAGCAGGCTATCCAGACAGAGCACAAAACAAGGAAGTGAAAGAGAAACAGTATCTCTTTGAAGAAATTTGACATGATATCTTTAATAAGAAATGTTTTAATGTAAAAACATAATATAGGGAACAAGAATCAGGGAGAAATGGAAACACAGGAAGGGAATGGCAGTCATGAAGAAGAATTAAGAGCTGGAGGAGGGGGAGAAATAATACTAATTCAGATGAACCAAGGATCAAAGAGACAGGAAAATGGACAGAAGGTAAATATATAACAGAATGAATAAAAATAGCACTAGGACAAAAATATTTTTAAAAGGGCAAGGAAAAAGGTGAAAAATCATGTAGAGGCATTTATAAAGACAGTATGTTTTCTGTTTAGTGGCAAACTTTGTGAATATGGAAACATTTTGGCATATGGAAACATTTCTTTTGACCTGCTTAAAGTATATTGATTATGGTAACTGATTTTCTTTCTTTTAGTTGTAGGCCACTGTGATTTCCTATTGGCTACTGTAACTGTTTTTAGGTTGCCTTGTTGACTGTTTGTTGGGGAATAAAGGTGGACAGATTGATTCCTGGATGTCAGCCCAGTAATTCAGAATCAGAAGGAAGGAGTACCGTGTTGAACTGAAATTTTCTGGGAACTTAAAAGATGCATAGTGAACTTCCTTACACTGGAACATATCCAGAATTCAGAGCTGAATACCCCACAAGCCTTAGAAAAATATCTGCTGGGGGAAGGGAGAGTAATCAAAAGCTGGCAAGACTTCAAGTCTGCCTCATCTAAAAGACTCATACATTTTTAGTGAGTATGATAAACTGTGGGAAAGAATTACCAGGGGAAGTAATGGATTCTTCACCTCCTCATGTCCTCTGATGAAGACTGTTTCCCTCCAGAACTGTGTTCAAGCTACTGAGTTCAATACAGCAGATCAAATGATCCTTTGATCCTGAAAGTTCTAATCTATGAATGATAACACTGATGGCAATTGAGACACTGGCCCACGTGATATTTACACAATGATGACCCATGAGGAAGAGCTACTCTTTCTTTCCCTTAATAAATCCACAGTACTAACTTCTCAACAACACCTATGTTTTCCTGAGCCTTGACAAGGCAAGGTGCTTGTGCTTTTTGCCTTGTAGATCTTTCTTGCTTTGTTTGCACATTGTCACACGTTCTCTTTGATAGCTGAAGAGACAGCAGGAGATACAACAAAAACCTTTCTTTAAGCTGAATTTAGTGATTTGCTCTTATTGATATCTTTACCGTGTATCTTTTCATGAAGGGACATTTTTTCTCTTGGAGGTGTGCTTCAGTTCAACCCAAAAAGCAGGCTCATCCTGGGATACAGTCAGCTTGGGTTTTTGTTCTCACAGCACTCACTGGGACTGAGTGTTTGGCCTAATCTGGCCCTCAGTCATGGCAGAAGCTGTGACAGTCTTGAGTAACATTTCAACAGAACCAGAGAGTTTCGCTGAGTTTCTTATATCTGTCTTTTATTAAAAGGTCAACACATGTTCCCGTTGGAGAAGATCAAGTCCTGCACCTGGAACTAGCCCAAGATATAGCACAACATTTCAACAAGAAATATGGAGAATTCTTTCCTGTGCCCAAAGCCATTTTAAGTAAGCTGGTGTTGGGTGGTTGGTTTTTTTTTTCTTCCCCCTTAAATGCACTTCAAGGTTTAGGATGGATTTAAATATTGTGGAAATAGTTTCAGGGACCAAGAAAAGGGAGCAAACTGGTGCTAAGGGAGTAGAAAATTGAAAACTGACAACAAGAGACTAGAGGCTGTGAAATTGAACTCCCAAGAAAGACATAAGGCTTTACAAATCCCCAGTAGAGGAATGTATGTGACGTCTGGTATTCTAGTCCAGGGGGCCAGATGCACTCTGCAGCTGCCAGTCAGCCTTGCTCTTCAAGAATTGGACCTTTTAAGAGTAGGGTCTCTGCTCCACGCTGGTAGTTCAGGAGACATGTTAGCAACAAGGCAACAGACCTCTAGCAAGCAGAGTTCTTCAGTGTCTGAGGGGTAGATGTTTGCATTAAACATGCTAAACAGCTTGTAGCTTTATTGGTACAGTGCTCAAAAACCTTTTAAGTGTGTTTAATACGTATTTGCATATTTCAGTAAGGGTCTCTTACAGAGCCTAGACTTTCCATTTTTGATCTTAGACTCAGGGAGACTTATAAGGAAAATCTCAGCATTTTTGAGCTCTAGGTCATAGGCCGTGGGGGTGAGGAGGAGTCAGATGGCACAAATGGCATGTTTGTTAAGAAACGTGAAGAATTGAGCAGGGAAGAAGCATTGCATCTTTGTTGTTAGTAATGTAGAGGAATGCACAGCAGAGACCTTCGCCCCCAAAAGGGCAAGGAGCTCTCACCTTAGAAAAGACAGGCAGTAATAGACCTTTCTCAATTTTCAAGCCTCGGTGACAAAAATGGTGTTAGACCCAGAGTGGAGTTTAGAGAATACAAGGTATTGCAAGCTCTGCAGTTTCTAATGAACAATTAAATACTAAGCGTTATAATGAGGAGCTGAGTGTAGCCTATGATGCAGGTGAGACTGTTTTCCCGGAAATAAAAAGCTCAATTTGAGAAACAAAAAAGAACTTTCCACTTTCCTCATGAAAGGCACACCTTCATAACTTAACAAGTATATGCAAGCCAATGAAATATCCTAGAAGGATGAGGAGCTAGGGACCTATTCAGACTCACTAGCTGTAGGCGGTTACGTTACCTGGACTCCTTCAAATTTACAGAAAAGAGATGGACTCTTCCAAAAGGTGGTTCAGAACAGAGCACTTTCTTGGGGCAGTCTGACTTGTACCCTGAAAGAACACTTACTCTTTTGCTGAGTACATAGGCCATCTGTGAGGAGTATGTGGGTAATTTAGTTGGCGGTGTCTAAAACAACTGGTGTGAGTACTTTCTAGATCAGTGATACTTTGTGTACTCCATGAATGATGTTTCTTGATGAAAGATTGAAACAGTTTGGATTGATGCTGTTATAGAGTATTTTGCAGTATTCCCCTAATGGTACTATTCTGTTTCATGTGCACACATATATGTTAGTAGTTTGTACAATATCCACACCCCTCTTATCTGGACAGCGCTTTCCCTCTAACAGAGCTGGTTAGTGCTCAGTTAGGGAGCTTTTAATAACTGTCTTTATTGATATTTAGGAGAACTGCCAAGAGATTTTGTGTGGAAGAGTTTCCTAAAGTAAGGATATTAACAGTTCTGGGATTCTTTTTTACCAGTGGATTTAACCTGTTTCTCCACTGTTACTGAACCTTGCAGTAAGGTGCAGTCCATGCTCTCTAGGTAACTTGTCCCCAGTGCCAGGAATATGAGGAGATAGTTTTCAGGGAAAATTACTATCTAGTCACAGAAGATATTAGGAAATGTCTTAGAAGAAGTGTCTGCGTAGTGAGGAGGGGAGAAATGGAGCAACTTTTCATCTAGTTTATGGGAGAGGAAGGGTGGGTTAGAAGGATAGAGGGGGGCATAAGGACTAAATGAGAGCATACTCGCAACTCATTTTTAAGCAAGAATAAACAGAGAGCTTTGTCATGCTACTGCAAAGTGTTCTTAGCAATTGTTATAAGAAACCACTGTCTATCTGTGTTTGCAATTATTCTCTTTTTTTTTTTATTTTAAGGTACAACAAAGAAAATAAAATCCCTCAGAGATCCAACAGTGAAGATGTCCAAGTCAGACCCACAGAAGTTAGCTACTGTTAACATAGCAGACAGCCCTGATGAAATAGTGCTGAAATTCCGCAAAGCTGTGACTGACTTTACCTCCGAGGTGACCTACAACCCAGCCAGTCGCCCTGGTGTCTCCAATCTGGTGTCCATTCATGCTGCAGTAACGGGGCTTAGCATTAAAGAAGTGCTGCACCAGTCTGCTGGCCTTGACACTGCTCACTACAAAATGGTGGTAGCAGAGTCGGTTATTCAAAAATTTGCACCTATCAGGAATGAAATCAAGAAACTCCAGGAAGACAAATCCTATCTGATAAAGGTTTTAGAGGATGGAGCAGAGAAAGCCAAAGAACTGGCTACTCCCATTTATCAAGAAATAAGAAGAAGGGTGGGATTTCAGTAGAAATTGCTGAGTAGTTGCAAGGACTTTTGTTTCCTGAGACAGACATTTTGTTATTTGTATCTTCTTAATCACTTTGCTTTGAAACAAAAAGTTGTTTTGTTTTTTTTTCCTGGAACTTCCAAGTAGAACATTTGCATTAAAAAATATGCATGAAGCCAGATATTTCCAGTGGGACCAGCACTGTGTTTGGGAGGGAGGGCAAAATAATCGCAATTCACAAAAAGTTCCCACAAAAGCAGAATATAAGGTTGCCCAAATGGGGTTTTGGGTTTTTCTGACCACTGCAAGAAGCCGAGGTATAGGCAAGGTGGTCAGAATCTAGTAGAAATATTTGTAATCTTCTCGAGAACATACTTAGCTGTGCATGTGATCTTGTACAGATGGACAACTTATCCTGTTGGTGGTTATTCAGCTTTGATATGGTGGTTGAATGTGTTCTTGGATACCCAGCATAAAAGCACAGGCTTACAAATCAAAATGCTCAGGGTAATGAAGAGAGAACTTACTGCTTCTCCCTGTTGTGTCTTCAAACTCTATGTGATTTGGTATCTACATCTAGTTTGTGTGAAGAGAGTCTGTGTGTCTTATGAATACAGACATCCGTACTCTAAAACTCACTGTGACTACTGTACTAGATGGCTTCTTTAATAGTCACTCCAAAGAGTCCCAAGAGTGGACTTGAAATTCACTTCAGCCACCTGTGCCATCCTGCTGGTCAGGTCTAAGGTACTTCAGTGAGAAATAATATGTGCTTCAGCTGCTCACATTCCACCTCCTGTTTGGTTTAGCAGGGAGCTCCAGGATTTTCAGTTCAGCATCAAGTCTAGGATTCCTTTACAAAAGGTGCAGGGCAAAAGATGTAATCCTGTGTGAAAGAAATCTTGGGTTGAGAAATCAGAGAACTTTCTGCAAAATTAACAGAATTATTTAGAAAACTGTGCTGAGATTTGAGCTGAAATGGGATTAAATAGATCTTTATGAACTCTCACTACTGAGCCTCAAAAAAGCTCAGTGATGGGAGAATGGTGTTAGCCTACACTGATCTTAGGCCTCATGAGACCCACAGACTGGGACCCATGGACCAGGGCTTTTGTTGGGGAACATTGGGGAACATGTGGGGAACATTGGAACAAAGGGGAATTGCCAATAACAGACACCCTTTTCTGAAGAGGGAGTAGTAGTACATTTTAAAAAGTAATGAAAGCCCTACTGGTCCTGTGCAAGCATATTTAAGTGTGTCATTGCATTTAATGGTGCTATGTTTGAAAATGCTTTACTGTAAGGTAAATTGAGTTCATCCTGTACTGCAGCAGCTCATAACCATTATATGTTTGTAGCATTTGTCATGAAGGATTGCAGTCTTACGTGACTGAGTTAGTAAAACTGGGGAGTGTTCCATGTAGTTGTTTTTTTTTAAAAAAAAGAAGCTGTGAGAGACAAGAAACCAGGCCTGTGAGAAACTAAGACAAACAGCCTGGGAAAGCAAAAGTTGAGGCTGGTTGAAGAAATGCCTCAAACACTCGCAAGACAAAACCATGAGTCACAGGGTGCTTTCTGTGGAGGCCGAAGCTGATAAGGCTGCCCGATGTAGCTGGGGGAGAGAGCCCTGTGGAGATGGGACGGCTCTGCCCTGGGGCACCTGGGCAGATTTCAGTGGTCCGGTGAATGAACTTTGCTTCATTATCCACGAAATGCATATTAAAATTGACACCCCTCACTATGCTAACGAGGGCTGTCATGATCATGCTAATTACATCATCCCATGGAACACCTTAGCCCTCCCCATACATGGGATACGTAGGTCTGTGGGTCGACCTAGGGGATGGACCCAAGGAAAGTGGGTATAAATCAAAGGGGAGAAGAAAGGGCTCGCTCTCTCTCTGCCCCTCTGCCCCCCCGGCCGTCTGGAGAGAGCAGTGAAGCAAAGAAGACGGATGCCAGCGAAGAAGATGGCTGCCTCCTGGAACCCTCGACGGTGGGATCAGCGCAGGAACCCAGACCGGTGATCTGTATTCCCCCATTCCCTCTATCTCCCTCTTTTCCTTTTTCTATTAAGAAATGCAAAGCATATTATATTGCTCATCACAACTTGCTCTGTACTTAGCCAATTATCATGTGTTCAATTAGTACATTGTAGGTAGTTAATAAATACTTGAACTTGGAGATGACTTGTCCGCTCCAATTGGGGATTTGCGAATCTGCGTCACTTGTCCCCCTATCGGAGCGGAACGTGACAGAAGCTATTTAGTTAATTAGCATAGTGAGGTGATTCGGAGAGATTTATTTAATTTTGCAAAACAAGTAGTTGTGGACTGATCTTCTGCAGATCTGTACTGAGACCTGTATTTATTTGTTAGGAATCTGAAGAAGACAGGTGCCATGCAAGAACTTGATGACAGAGTTTTTTAATTTAGTCAAGACTAGAGGAGCAGAGTGGATGGAGACAGAATGTTGGAAAACCAAACTCAGTGTAGACAAATTCAAGGTAATGTCCTCTGGAAAGAAGTGTGCTCAAAAATAGTCCCTGGTTTCAAATTAGCTGTAGCAGATTAGGAAGGAGAACAGTCTAACTGTGCATATTTAGGCAGTTTTACAAAACTTTTGCCAGGGTTTAACAGCTACATTAGTCTTCATGGGAACTAAAAAAAGTAAGGCACACAATTACTGCTGCTTGCTGAGTTGGCAAAAAGTGTTTGTGTGACACTTTTTAACATGGGTTGATTTCTGCAAAAGTCCCACACTAGATTCCTTAAGAGAAGATAACACAGTGCTCATGAAGATACTGGAAATCTTTAACACTGATTCATCCAATCTACCTGTTCCTCTTTTTCACTAGGAAAGATAGGATCATGTATTCAAAAGATAGATCATATTTTCAGGCTGATTTTACACTTCTGATATTTAAATACAGAGTTGGCATTCAACACACCTCCTTTGCAGTGAAAAGGAAGTAGCAGTATTCATATGTCTTCAATACAATTTATTAAAAAGAAAAGGGGGGAGGGGATGACATCAACAGGCAGTTCTGGCTTGTTACCCAAACTGTTCTGAGCAGTCTTTCCAAATCTGTTAGATTTTTTTTTTTTTTTTTCAGAAAAATCACATAGATGAAGCAGGAAGAAAAGCTTCAAAAGATCCCTTTCTTTGGGGTAGGGATTTAATGTATTACATATTTAGCAATCAAATTTACTGGTTTATCTCTCTTTAGTTCAAGAATAGATTGGGGTTTTCCACTTCCCTTTCTCCTGTCGCTCGAGCAAATCTTACTTGCCTGACCTTCAAGTAAGGAAATATGCCTGTTATTTCTCCTTCAGGAAACTTAAACTTGTGTAAAATTAGTATGTTCACCTATTAATTGTTGACTTAGCCCTTTTATTTTAGTAGCTTCTGTGGAGGAATTCTCAAAATAAGAGCTGTGTCTTCCTGGTGAAATAATCCCAGTTCTACTGACAACCATGATCATTAGTGTCCCCTCACAGGAGACAACTATAATGAAGATGTTTGCAGGTATCTGCTCCCTATTCCAGTTTTCTTAGAGAATGCCTTTTCTGGGAAGTTAATCATCTTGTGTTCAGGTTAAGAGTCTAGCTGGACCTAGCCTGGCTGCCTCTTTGCATTCCTTGAGCCTTTTACTTGGCATCTGGGAAGAGTTTGGTAGGCAGAAGCTGAGCTTGAAGCAACATGTGCTCACTCCTATCAGTAAAAATTGTTTGAAACCAAGCTACTCTGATCTCTGTGCTCTTCTACCTCCCTGTTTCCTCTTTAAAACATTTTTGTAAGCACCCATTCTAGATGTTGGATTGTGGCAGTGTTTAGCAAAGTAGTGGAGATGAGTTAAAGCAGCTCTTTAGAGAACAGTTGTGGAGAAGGCTTGATGGTATGTGTTTCAGAAGGATTAGCTTCACACAAACTCTAATCTGGTGTGCCGGGGATTTAATTGTTTACATCTGGTGTGCAGTGGGTGCACTTCTGAAATGCGTTTTCATGTTCGATTTTGTCCAGTAATCATATTCCGTGAGACGTCTCTGTGATGCTTGCTAGAGTGCAGTTAGTGGGGACAGTGGGGAGTTTCTGCAGAAGCACACTCCTGATCCCAGCTGCAATGCTAGTGTAGAAATGCCCTGTGGTGCTGTGGAAGTCATTGTAAGGTGTTCTTCTAGGACTGGATGGGAAAGAGATCCAAGCTCATCCTTCCTAATTGAAAAAAGAAGCGTTGAAAGGTGGAGAGGTATCCTTACCCCTTGCTGTGTTGCTCTTTGTTTCTGCTTCCTTTTCTTCAGTGATCCTTTTCCTCAAATATGTGCAGTAATTTGCATCTTAGTCTTTAAATCTCCTCCTTTTCCATTCCTGTGTGTTTAATACATGGGAAGTACAAATGTAGTGGTTGGGATCTGCAGTATCAGAACTAGCAACACCAGGTAACTGAAGAAATTCACTTCAGAGGTGAACATCAACTCCACAGTTAATAACTTACTAAGATCTAACTAAAACATTTACGCACTTGCGACATTTATCTTTTCCCCCAGTGGTTCCTAGGAAGTCGTCTTATGCGAAGTTATGAGAAGACACTGATAGTGAGTCTCTGGTGCTCCAAATTTAGAGCACAGAATTTACCGGGAATTTTAGATTCAGGAACAGCATTTTCTTTAGAAGAGACTCCAGATGATGATTACTCATAAATTAACTCTGTCACTGCTCCAGCATTGGCATACATCCCTACCTCTCATAACTGGACTGTATGTATATTGTATGTTGTATTGCCATTTGTTTGTAACTCCTGAAGATGTGTTTGAAGTATACTTGGTTTTCAAACACATAATCTGGATTCTTAGATTCTCCAGAAGGCCTTGTGCATACTTCATTATGTGTTTATCTACAAACAGTTCAAGCAAAACTCCTTTGCGGGATTATGGTTGCTCCATTCAAGGTTAGGGAGCTCCTATAGTGACCTGAACGTTTAAGGAAAGGACAGTGAAATGGGATTCTTGGGGACTGACCTTCATCTAAATGTTTTGGGACTATAGGTTGTCATAGAAAATGTTTTCTTATACTTAGTTAGGGCCATCATGATCCTGACAACAGTACAGGGGTAAATACTGCTGATGAAAGCCTTTACATCAGCTTATGTAGGAACTCTGATTTGCTGAGGACTGTACTATATCATAAAACTTTAACTTTTCAGATCTGCACAGCTTGCTAGATGACTGTGTCAGCAGAAATCTGTTTGGAAACTGTTAGCCAAAGCCAAATCTAATCCTTGGATCAGCGCTCCTGGATGTTTTCCTAAAATGGGGATTTCCCAAAACAGGTTGTTTTGGGTAAGCTACAGTACCAATTTCAGTAGCTGCTGCAGGATCAGAAAGAGCCAGAGGTCCATTCCGAATGACTCATTTTTCATTACTGCTCTGATGCATGTTCTACTTGCCCATATGGCTCAAGGATCGTGACAAAACTCAGAGAGGGTCTGTGTGTGGTTCTGGTAATAGCAACAATATGGACCCAGGTGAGTTTGAGTCTGGAAACTAATGAGCATGCTCTTTCAGTGGTCCACCTTGGGTAGATTTATATTCAGAACAACAGTTCACCTGTACTCATGTCTCTACATTTGAGTTACTGGATGCTGCCTACCTGTTTATTTATGACTGATTGCTTCACAGACAAAAGGAGCATAGGGAGTCTAGTGGAAAAGGTTTTCTGTTCGGGAAAGATATTATCTGTTCTTTCCAAGAGAACAAAAACGCTCTGCTATATTGGACTATCTAATTTCCTTTAAGTGGTTTGATCTGTTCCTTCTTTTGTGGGTAAACATGGCAATAATAGCTGCAAGAAGAATGTCGCTTTACTGTGTAGTCAAAAGTCTTGGAAGGACACAGGCATCTCCTCTCATCGTTTCAGAAGTCCCTTACATTGTGGGACTTTCCCTGAAACTGGCTTATGCAACTAGTAAAATGCTGCAGCAAAACTGTGATCTTATGTGACATTTATTGATCCAATTAAAGCTTCTGTGTTTCCGCTTGGGTTTTTTAACTCACTAGGTTGTGAGAGAAGAGTTTTGTTGAACTTTGAATTTCCAACTAAGCTTTCTATTGCATAGTCCTTTGGTGACCAGATGATAGATGAAGTAATGGAAGATTCTCTTTATCATCACAAAAGATTCTGTGATGGTTTCCACTGTCTTTTCCATCAGTTTTGTTCATTGTGCTGATGGTCATATTGTAGAAGCTTTGACAGAAAAGTATTTATTTTGTTTTGTGCCAGTGAAAAACCATTCTACCTGCAACATTCCCACATTATAATGCAATGGCAGATTCATTGATCATTTTGCTTTTAGGCAGCAGCTTTGGTTTCACAACTATTTTATATAAAACCAAATGCCAACCTCCTGCACTGAGAAATGAGCACG